CCACATTCTGAAAATGCTCTGGAATATTTCATTGCAACTCGTTCGGGGGGGAGAGAATGATTTGTTTCAATGTTCATCCAACAAAAACGTCTTGATGAATGATCATCAAAGTTGTAAAAGTCAATTTATTGCTTGAAAGCAGGAGGTTCAAACACACGAGCACGTGTTACAGTGCTCTGTGGAGACGGCGTCTCCGAGCAGTCAAAGCTCGGGGGCCTTTATGTGGCAGGTGGTCCGCAGCGCCGCCGACTCCTACCCACTAGACCACATGGGAGATGGCAGATATGAAACCTGCATCGATACGCATGGAACTAGGTTATGACCCTTGCAAAGCAGGTGAGACTACTCGGCAACAGACAGTTCGCAGCTGCAAATGGAAACATGGAGTCATTCTGCTTTCCACGTGTTAAACTTCAATACAGACAATTAGCACTCTTTTAGCATGAGACTTTGTTCTGACATATTTTACCATTACAGCTCCCATTCTGCATCCGCAGCATGTAATGTGCCGTAGATAACTGTCCACACGGTGGCACAATAGTATTCCTCCTGTCATAGTTCACGCACAGACAATCTGCCTCGCAAAGGTTTAATCTAGAACATCCCGGACACTTGTCTGGGTTCCACTCCATCCGTCCTTTAAGTACAAGGCTCAGCATCTGATGACCTCAAACAGCTGGCCAAAAGCGCTCTAACCATCACGTTGCGTGTGGTTTGTTTTGCATAGTGAAGGTTTGCCGGAATATTTAACTGTGGCAAGTCCAGGAAAAGCTTCTCGTCCCAGCTGCAGAAATGTCCTTCAGTCTTTGTGCTTCGCTGAGCTAAGTGCTGGCTGGAGACAGCCTGATGTTTAACAGACAGGTACCAGAATGGTATTGATCTTCTCATCTAACTGAGAGCTGATGGACGTATTTCCCAAAATGTCCAATCGGGCCCCTTTTTAATGCTTTTTCTCCGCCTCATTAAACAGGTGCTGTTCAAAAGCCGAGAGGACTTTTACAAACTAACAACTCTGTTTACTTTGTACGCGCGGTCGGTCGTTACGCTACGTGTACAGAATTTGAATCACCGCAGTTTGATGCATTCTGGTTATTCAACAGGAAATGAATCGGTGAAACGTGAACATACACACACACACACACACAAACGTATCTTTTCCCTGTGTGCGTATTGCTCTTCCTCACTCTTCTCTCAACAACGCTCTGGGAATCCGACGTTATTATTAAGCGCATACAGTTAAGACGGCTCCACTGCGATCACACAGCATTCCTCCACCCTGAGCGGATTTAGCTTTTTCAGTCCTGATTATATTCCTAAATACCTGTTTTTGTCATATAATACGGTGTAGCACCTCCACATAGCTGCCTCGTCAAGCAGATACAGTGAGACCAATTGTATTAAATCCTCCTTCAAATTATGCTTTGAATGATTTTTCCCCACAAAGAGAAGAAGAGAAGGTGGAACAAAGTGTCAATCGGTAACAACATCGTCCTTTGTGCTGCGACTTTTACAGGTTCTCCATCACCTCTTCTGTAATTATCCTCTTACTATTGCTTTGAAGTGAGACAGTGCAGCTATGCTGAACACTAACTGCAGTGCTGGAGCCTTTCGATTGTGTTGTTGAATGAGGGTTTTAAATTAAAGCGCGGTCACACGTTCTCATTCTGGAGAGGATGAGCATCGGCTCCTTCATGACAAGTGAAATGTTACAGCGATAGTTTGGGCCTTTTCCCGCCGTGGCTCATCCATCCCTACTATGTATCTAATGGCACATTTTATATGTCCTCTGCTGCAGGTAGAAAAGTCCCATTCGCAGATTGAGGAGGACAGAGGACCGGAGGAATGAATGATAAAATACCTTGACTCAGGAATATTAGATTCATTTTATTCTTTGACATATTAGATTGACTTCCAAGTGATATTATTGGGACTTAAAGGGTGTGAGGAAAGTGTAAATATAGAGTACACTATCACACACATCACATCATCACAGAAGACCAACGCACTTATCAAACCACAATTTGATATCAGCCAATGTCTCTCACACACACTCTATTTTATAATTTCATTTAATCCATAGTAGAAGATGGATGTTTTAGTGCAATGAAGCGTCGGAATGTTCTTCTTTTCTCATTAAACAGAAACATTTGAGACAACATGCATCTTCATCAGGGAGAAAACGTCGCACAAAAGACTTTTGTCACACTGACATGTCGTTGCGTGTCGTGGTCACAATGGCTCCTCGCTGTGACATATATTTCCCTCTACACCAAAGTAACAGCCCTACTTGTGAGTTTTACGCCGGAGAGAAATGACATTTAAGAAGGCGCGCAGGCCCGTTAACGTAGACTCTAGCAGGCGGAAGATGTGGTCCTGCATTAAGAAGCCATCTGCAGGTACGGGTCAGTCTGACCTCACAGCTGGGAGAGAAGTTTGCATAGAGGCCTCTTCAGACCCCGGCAGGTGCCTGCTGGGATGATTGGACAGTGGGGGGTATTTGTAGGGACACGACTGATTGCCGCTGAGTGATTTTGAAGATATTTCTGCATTTCAAGTGAAGAGCTGCTCCCTTCACCTTTGCCTAAAATCTCGACAGTCTAATTTGCCATCAAGTTTAGGCCCCTCAGCTCAATATAATACTTGGAAATGGTCTCAATGTTCTGTTATAAAATGCTTAACATTTGATAGAGTAACTATTAAAGAAGGACAATTCCTATATTACCATCATTAGCTTCAGGCATTATTCTGTGACCTTCAACATGGTCCCATGATGAAGGTCACATTGATCATGTTTGGATGATATACTTCTAATGAAGCCCATACAGCTGCCAACGAGTATCCGTTAGTACCATCATGGCACATTAGCTGTGTGTTGCAACATCTGCCTTCAGCTCTCTTTAAAAACATGAATTTATAACTAACAAAGGCGGAAGAAAAGCATCGTTGTTTTCCCTCACAGAGAGGTTTATTTTTAACTACGCCGCTAATGCACTACATGCTGTGTGGGTTTTGGACAATGGTCACACGTCTGTATGGTTGTGTCATTCACAGATCATTACATTACAGTACAGTTCATTTAGCTGACTCACAATAAGTGCATTCAACCACAAGGGTGCAAACTCAGAAGAACAAGAAACAAGAAAGTGCAATTTCCTCAAATAAGCCAATTTACAATTTGCTATAGATGAGTGGCCTTATAAGTACAATTTAAGTGCTACAATTTCAAAATCCCTTTCACGGTTTGTCAATGACGCCTGACACATGAATGCAATTGATAGCTGTATTTTTACCAGCTGAAACAGCTCTCTGTAGCATGAAGCTACATTTAATAATCAAACATTCAATTTTAACCAGGGTGACATGGACGGATTTAGCTGTTTGAGTCTAAAACGGCTACATTTGTCTTTTCCCAATGCGGTTAAAGTCTTCGACCACCGCGCTGCACAGAATGGTTCTTGTACTTGGTGCTGCCTGTTGCTGGCAATAAGACTGCAGGCCGCTGACGTTCATCTAGACTCGAGTTGAGAGTGAAACTAAAAGTTAGAGCGGCCACGCTTTTACTTTTTAATCACGATGAATTGGTCGTGCTGTGGGAGGACGTCAAGGCCTCACCGGCCTGGTTTAAATACTGTAACGGACTGACATGTTCTGGGACATTTACACATTTACTGAGTTTATAAGGTCAGTGAAGGCCTCGCGATGTGATCAATCATTTCATTGCTGCCTATGGGAATGTGTGGTTGGTATGTTGGTGGGCGGGAGCCTTGGTGGAGTTCTGGTGATTAAAACAGTTGGTTTGTTCTTCGGCGCAGGCTTCACAATTAGACCCTGAGAAGAACGCGTGTCCAGAGCTTCATTAGCAAGAGTCGCTGCAATACAACTCACAACCTGTGCCTCATTAGCCGGATGCTATATTTCCATCAAAGGGTCAACTGGACATGTGGCAGATGGTGTTGTGTTTTACGAGCACATGAAGACAAATATAGACATTCTTCAAAAAGTTTTGTTTCAGAAAAGAAGAAAAACACCCTCTCATCTGATTGGTTCCTCCTGCCACCACCATCCCTTTAAAGCGGGACAGTATTCAGCACGGGGAGGAGGGGAGGGGGGGGGTTGGGGAGGTGTCGTTGTAGGGGAGATTCTCCCCGTTGTGCAAATTAGAAAAAGGCTGAAAATAGAACATCTCTAGAGAGCATCTAATGGTAGTTTTGTGCACGAGCGGGCAGTAGAGCCCATTTAAGGCATCAGGGATCGGGATTAGCGAGGGAAATCTTACTGTATTGTTGTGGTCTGTGACTCAGTCCCATTTATCTTATTCATTATGTCCATTTTTACATCACAGCAGAGGCATCCTCCGCTCCGTCTGAATCCCTCCACACACACACACACACACACATATGAGTGTGACTCATTCTCTGAAGATGAATACAATCCAGTTTAAGTGGAAGTATTCTTTCACGGCCAAGTGAGGTTACGTCTGACCCTGATGGTACGATGCATCTGACAATACGTAGATGTTGGGAACAGAAAAACACAAACACGTGTTCCAATGTGGACCAAGAAGCAACCAACCGGAATACTGAAGCCGACGGTTGTTTGTGTGGGTTATTTTCATTATGTTTGTGTTTGCAACAAAGGGTGTGTGTGTGTGTGTGTTTGTGTGTGTGTATGTGTGTGTGTGTGTGTGTGCCTGAGCCACTCTGTATAAGAGTGCATGCCTGAGTGAGTGAGCGAGCGAGTGAGCGAGCAGGCGAGTGTACAAGTGGAGCAAGATCGGGGGGGAGAGGAGGACAGCGGAGGAAGAGGCAGAGGGAGAGGAGGGAGAGAGAGAGACAGGGGAGAGAGGGAGGGAGAGAAAGAGAGAGAGAGAGATGGAAGGTTGTACGGAGGCAGGAGCAAGGCGCGTTATAAAAATGGAGATGCGTTCTCCCATCTTCTTCGGGGGGATTTAAACTGGCTTCAGCCTGACGGAAGACCCCCAAAGCCCCCCCCCCCCCCCCCCCGCCCCCCTCACCGACCCTCCACGCTCTCTCCTTTAATGTAAGACGGGCGCGCCGGGAGAAGCGAGAGGGATACTTGCTCTTACTTCCTTTCCACCCAGCCTGCCTGACAGATGGCACCGGCAGAGTGATCTCTGACTCTCACCCGGGGACCGGTCCTCACCCCCCTCGCTGAGGTAACGTACGCCAAAGAAAAGCTGCATGCCCAAAAACCTTCATCTTGCAGCGCTGTTTGCCTTCAATGTGCTTTGGAATGAGTGTGTGAAGTGAATGTGGCAGCTCAAAGTGCGCCTGCATGTGTTGGTCCTCGGTCATTAGTGTGTGTGTGTGTGTGTGTGTGTGTGTGTGTGTGTGTGTGATGGAGAACTGTGTCTGAATCAGCGCCCCATCAGCACCCTGTCACAGTTATTTAACAGGACTTAGCTGGTGGATTTGGTGTTTTTTTCTTTTCTTTTTGCGATGGAGGTGTACCGTTGTTTTCCATGGTAACCTGAGGTCCAGAACGAGGCGAAGGGCAGCGCCCTGCTGTCTGCACCCCGCTGACTCTTAATTAAATCTGATGTTGCTTTTCTCTGTGCCTGGACTTGCTGTTTTACTAATCATGGTGGCAAAAGTTGCAACAGAGGCAGTTGCTGTGTTGGAAATAACAGACACTGTCCGCAGGGTGGCCTGTATGGTGTAGTGAGGGTTGCAGGTTAGGCATTTTTGGCACGACGCAATTGGTATTTGGTACTTTCGTGTTGAAAGAATGAACGCACTTGTTTCCAGCAATTGTATTTTAAAGCCATTCATCAAGCCTTCGACGTGCAACTGGAAACCTGAAATTCTACAAGAGTTATTTTGATTCGGTTCCACTTGTGTACTCTTTCTCGCTCAGGATTAACATCAGAGATCCATGCGCTCAACACAATGTGCTAGCTTCTCTAAAGCAGCCCAACACTGTTGGAAATGTATTGTTTAATTTCCTTATGAAAATAGGTGGCAGTCTCAGATTTTTGAATGTGGGGAAGTATGCATCAGAAACAATGGCTGAGTAACCAAGCTTAGGCTCTGTGTAATAATTGTCTCTCGCTCTCACACACACACACACACACACGTCTGTCTTCTGTCCTCTGATGTCTGCTCTGTCCGTGAGGTTGATTTGTAGACAATTCCTGAGTCTGCAACATCGACTGTAGTCTCATTTCATAATGTGGAAACGCAAATTCCAAATGGGATCCAAGGTGAATCCGTTCGGCTCGAATACCACGAGACATACGACAAACCAGAATGATTGGGCAAAAAAAGTGCATTCTTCTACAGAATTCCACTACTCTTAAATGGTAATGTTGTGCCCGCAACTTGAAAAGTTAGGAATCAATTTGCATGCAGTTTGCATCTCTGACCTCCAAAAGATTTAGAACATAATAGAGTCGTGCAGAACTGAGACCCTCAGCGGGCATGTGTACTAGGAAGGCTATACCTTGTGCTAATTAAATATTTACAGACATAGAAGCCCGGATGTCATGCACTGTTCAAACACATCGGACGGAAGACTGCTCTATATACGAATTTACGATTACGATCTACAATTCAAACCGGTATTTTGCACTTGGTAGTACGTGTTTATTTTTAGGCGTCATTGACCCCGCTCACAATAAAGATGGATGTTGGCTTGCCAGGGTCACTCCTGCTCTCTAGTGCCGGTACTGAAACACACCATTAGCTGGCTTCCTGTCTAACGGAGCGATTGGGAAAGGAGGTGATTCGGAGTCTAGTGCCGTACTTTAGTACCCAGCGGTGGCCTCGATTGAGATACTGTCAAGGTACAGTTACTGTGTGAGGTCAGCCTGGCAACAGATGGTGTGCACAGAAAGATCAGGTTAGTTACTTACTCATTTAAATGTATTTCTTTCTTTCACATTTTCCTCAAGCAGAAGCAAAAGAGAATAAAATATACAACGCCTGCACGTCATTGCCCTCCATAGCTCGCTGTAAGCAAAACTCACTAAGTGCAATGTTAAACACATGTCTGCATTGTTGCACATCATCTCTTCAGCACACGGCTCAACACTCATTGAGTCACCTTGCATGACTCTTTGCACCTCCCCGGTATTTTGTTTCCCTCGATCTCAGAGAGGATATTTGATTTTGAACGTGGCCACGTTTTCTATTCTTGCCTCTAACTGATCGTTATCTCTTTTTAGCCGACTCGCTAACCACCCTGCTGTGAGCTGTTGCATTGTCATTATCTTGACACCGTGCGCCTGCTGCACAGCACACATTTACTCTTCAGTGTGTGTTACTTTGAATACGTGTGTTGAATTAGGTCAGACCCAATGAATACTATAATTGCTCAGCTCGGACGCCTTTTCCCTGCACACAAAGTGTGATTTCTTTAAATCCCTCCCGAGTGGCCCGTGTTGAAACTGTTTCCCTTTTGTTGTTTTGCTGTGCTAAAAAAAAACCTCTGAACACTTAATGAGTGTTCCCTGACATCCTCATGAAAAACTCACTTGAAGGGTTGGAATAGTTTGACTGGTATCAAGGGGTTAATCCCTTACGCGTCCACCAGTTTCTTGAATGGTTCAGTTCTCCCGTCAAGTCTTCTACTCAACCACTTGCCCATGGACGAAAGTCCTTGTGACGTCGCAGTGCATCAGCGTCATGCGCATTATGCAAGAAGTGAACCCTCTGTAAGGCCACCGGTCGCTTTCCGCACAGTGGACTGAAGTTGAGCGACAGTAAGCAAAGCCACAGTAGGATATAAATCATATTTTCGCATTTTAGATCGGTTGGAAACGACAAACGCTCTTTGATTTGTAGAACATTTGCCTGAAGGAGAAGAACGAAGAGGGAGAGAAACTCTGCTAACCTTTGGCAGCGGATGTCCTTTCTATAATAAGTATTTTGTTATGTATGAACTAGAGCATTTGACGAGAAGTTGCATGAATTGATTTACATGAAGAACGGGAGCTCGTGGGAACTCTACTAATCAGAAAAGGGCTTAAGTCCGAGGTCCATGCACGGGTAAGTTGATTTGGTGCTGTTATCAGTATTCCAGATATTATAAAACATATTAGTTCAGTTCTGCTGCTCTGTGCTTTTGAGTTTCTCATCGAGTTGAACTGAAATTACAATATCCAAAGATCGTTAAGCTAATGCAAGGAAATCGCTTACATTGCCTCTGGGAAATTAACACGCAACCAGCAAACAAAACCGACTTCCTACATGTCGCACAAGAGAGCGGATGACACGGAAACAGAAACCAGAGAGTTGGCGACTGTAATCAGCAGCTGAAGAACGGTCTTTATAATTTAGCGTCCCGTCCCCTCTCGACGGCAACAACGTGAAAGTCTCGCGTTCATTCAGATTTCACCTGACGGCTGCCTGTTTGTTTAGCATCACTCAGGGATCAATCACAGGGAACCTAAAAATCAATGAAAACCAATTAAAATCACTCTAAAGTGAATGAGGCGGAGCGAGGCTTTCGACACATACTGTGCACCTGTGTGCAGTACATCTGTTCAACAAAGGCAGCGGCACTATTTTTAGACTGTTGACTTCTCACAGGAGAGTCGCTTCTCTGACACGTTGGGCAGGGTTCATCCACGGCATAAAGGTCACGACCTGACATCCCTCCTTTGTCTGCTGAGAGACCTCGGCTATGCTGGTCAGCTCTGTTCATCAGCACACCGATGTTTTAGGTTGGATACAATTGCAAAAGCTACTGTGCGCGTGCGCGCGTGTGTGTGTGTGTGTGTGTGTGTGTGTGCGCGTGCGCTCACCTCTTCAGCTGCAGACGGAAATCCCTCAGGAACACCACTGACAGCCAGCATTCCTCTCTCGGCTGGAACCTTGTTATTTATTTTCTTCCATCTGTCTCCTTCTGTCTCCTTGATTCGATTGATTTGGCCAGAAGAATCCTCAGCTTTTCTCTTTGTGCCCGCTGGACCTTTTGATGACCCTCGAGACTGTTATCTGTCTCATCTCTTGCTTGACGTGTTCAAGTGATCCACCTCTTCCTCCCCCAGGACTCAAGCAGCCTCTGTAAACAGGGAGGTGTTTCTCACCTTGTGAACCTCTGCACGCGCCGTCGCGTGCAGGTGAGGAGACTGCGGTGTGAGGATGTTTGAGAGGAGAAAAACGCAGCGCAGAGCGAGTCAGAGGGGAAGCTTTACAGGAGCTGAGGGGCTCATCCCTCCCCAGCAGTTACCTGCGAGCCTACAAGCAACCCACACAAACGCACAAAACGCTGATGCAATAATTGATTTGTCACATGGAGTTATGACACATCCTTCTTTGGCAAACTGGAGCCATAAATGGACTAATACATTTTAACAACAAGATCCTGTGGTCTCTCTTACATTCTGGTCCCAGTCTCACAGCAAAACGTGCAATAGCTACGTTGTGGACCAACAGGGTATTTTGGGGAGAAATTGTGACAATACAACGTTTTATTTGCAACAAGGTCACGTGACTATCAAGTTTCCCTCAGCTAATAAACAGAAAGTGGCGGACTGTCGGTCTATTATCTGTGAGAAACACAATATTTTAAGAAAGCATCAGCATTTGTATGCATTTCGATGGCATTTCTAGCGAGAAGTATGAGTTATATTTTCATAATCTTCTATCAGAGAATGTAGAAGACCTTGTAAATGAGGCAATGTAAATGAATGGGCCAAAATAAAACGTAGTATTGTCAAGATTTTGGGGAGAAATCGTGACAATACTACATTGGTCCGTGTGGCTATTACACGTTTATTACACGGGTTGTGCATTCTGGTCCCGGGTCAGTATCGGGATGCCGGCACAGCAGCCGATGTGTCGGATGTCTGTCCGCGTCTGCAACGCACAACATAAAGTACTGAAAAAGTACAAACGGACAAAGAAATGCCATTTTGGTTTGACGTGCTTCACTGCGGCCTGCGGCTTCCCGTGGCTTTGGCCGGGATGTTATTGGCGTGGCCCTGAATCCTTCAGAGAGAGGAGAAAACCTAGTTATCCTAAAAACGTTAATAATTCAACTCCCAACCGCATCAAGCCTTGCCGCTGCATGTGTGCGTAAATGCAGACGGATCGAGGGAGCTGAATGGCTGGATGACTTCCGCTTGTCCCCCAAACAAGCTCAGTCAGTCCGTCTGTGTGGCGTACGACGCTGCTTCTGCTCAAAGGCCTGCTTCGAGACCACCTACAA